GGGGGGGCTAGCCTCCCACTAGTTCGAATTAAGGGGCTACACACCCCTTAATTCGAACTAGCTAGTTCGAACTAGGATTAATCCTCGTGGAATGAAGTTTTCCTAGTTCGAACTAAGCGCTCCATTAGTTCGAATTAAATTCGAACTAACGGACCGCTAGTGTAGCGCCTATGAAAGTTAGTTTGAACTAACATCTGTTAGTTCGAACTAACTTTGTAGTGTAGACATACCCTAAGGGAATAAATTGCATAGCTTATTTAGAGTTAATTTTGAAATAAGCCCTATTCTGAAACACCCCTTAATCCTCATGGAGCAAAATCTACAGGGACATCAGAATAGCGAGCCCATTATTTTGAAATAATGGGCTCTCTCAAAAGATGTGGAATAGCTATTTTGGGATATCTCTGGTATCCCAAAATAGCTCCACAGTGTAGACATAGCCTAGGAGACAGCAAGTGTATATTGTGAACAATAATAAAAATACACATAATGGCAAATCTTATTCCATCATAAAGTAGAACTATCAAAGAAGACGACAAACAAAACATTGGTAGCCAAGACAATGAGACATTTGAAACCAAATTTCTGAGAATGTTAAACAGAAAAGGAAAAGGGTAGTACAGTACAAAGACAAATGGGAATACATTTAAACTGTAGCTAAAATCACCACTGACACAAATTAGCTGAACAATACAGCAACAGCATACAAATACCCAAATAAAAACCAGCAACATGTAGTCAAGGGATTTGTTACAGTCATACAAATCTATCTATGAACTAATCTCCTCCCATGTAAGATAAATCCCATTTACAAAAAGATACTTTTAAGGATAAAAACTCATTCAGTATGAGGAACAGCATGCAGTGTGTGAAAAAGAGCTAAGAGGATAGTACAGATTGCTGGATTAGAGAGATTCACTCTCTGGTTTGGCAACATCCCTGGTCCAGCAAATTTCCCACAGTCCCATAAAATTTGTTTACAGCCACCAAGGCTGGATCTCAGAGTTCTATGCTGTTATTGAGCTCTAATTTATCCCTAATTGCACATCTATACAGCATGGCTAAAGTTGAATTAAGCTACACAAATTCAGCTACGTCAATTGCATAACTTAAGTCAAAATAGTTTAATTCAGCTTTTGGCGCTGTCTACATAGCAGGAAGTTGAAGGAAGAACACTCTTCATTCGACTTTCTTTACTCCTTGTGAAATGAGGGTTACCATGAATTGGAGTAAGATGTCCTCCAGCTTGACATTATTTCAAAGTAAAGTGTAGTGTAGATGTGTACTATGTTATTTCGGAATAACGTCAATTAGTCCAATATAATGCTGCTTTTAGACGTTCCCTAAATGTCTTCTAAGAGCCCAGTAAGCTGTGGAAGTGTTGGTAATACTGCTAAACAATATTGCCCTCCCATGGTCTGGCAAATTCTCTGGTTCGTCAATGGTCAGGTCCCCATGGTGCTAGACTAGAGAGGTTCGGATTCTCTCTCACAACTAATAGCATTTAAAGTGATGTTACATCATGTTAAATAACACGTGCTACTATTAAAAAAATTATATAAGCTCAGGCTAGATCTTTAGCTGTCATGAATTGGCATAGTCAATGGGACAATGGTGATTTACATCCCCTGAGCATCTGGATCGTCCATTTTAACAGCAGTGCATTTTGATGTTTAATTATGCCACTTTTTGCTTTTTAATATTTTAGTTAGCTTTAAATTATTTATGATTGTGCTATTAAATTTGATCTATTTGTGTTTTGTCCAAATGTGTTTTGCCTAAATGCTTCAACTGAATGTATATTGATGCTTTGTATATAAAAATATTATTTTAAACAATGGAAAGTGACTTCGGTACAGCTGGTCCCTGAGTTATGAACGAGTTAGTAATTCGAAGTGTTCGTAACTGGAATCCCACTGAGTTACATGGTGACCGCGCTGTTCGTAAGCGCGGATTGTGTTCATAACTCAGGGACCGCATTTACTACTGCTTTGGAGGTGGAGGTGGTCGTAAGTCAGAGACTGGCTGTACTTTCCGTTAAAAATACTTTAGTATTTTCCCCTCCATTTTTCCATCATCGTATCCAGAAATTATTATAATTCACTCTCTTAAGAAAATCAAGTCTGTTTGTTTTAGTTAGCAATATACAAAAATCCCACCGTGACTAGTTAATGCCACATACAAAAATGCTAAAAAAAATGAATGGAAAACTGAAATTTCCGAATTTTGCCTTCTGTGTTTTTTTCTTTGGAGAAGTCATAAAGAAACTATTCTCCTGCATAATCTATACTACAGGGAAGACTTGCCAGCATGGCTGACCCTTTTATCACATACCACAGGTGACTTAGATCATCACATTCCTATGACTATTGGACCCACTAACCTATGCAGATTCATTGTTATATACTTTATCCTTATTGCTCCCTAAACCTTGCCAGTTTATTCACCTGTTGCACAGTGTCAAAATCCTTGACAGTGAGCTCTGTAAGCACTGTCTTTGCTTTTGGGTTTGTACAGACTGGTACATGGTGCTCTGATTCCTGGTTAAGATCCTTAGGCACTAGCTCAGCAGAAACCCGAAGAAATAAACAATCTTCATATTCTCAAACTGTTCAGGGGCCTCCCAACCTGTGATATAATATAGAGCAGCCTCAGAAGTACCCATCCATATAGTCTCAGAAGTAAGATGTAATTCAGTGTAAGAGAGCAGAACTTGTCCCTTCATTAGCATATGCTGGTTTGGTATAAATCTTTGTATGTTTTTGTTACAAAAAACCACAGTAAAAACTGTGTACAGTACAGTGGAAAATCACTAAGGAAACTAAGAAGAATACTATGGGCAACTGGACTTATGTTGCTTCAGTTTTAGGGATGCAAATTATCAATCAGAGACAGTAGCTTAGTTTTGGAAATTGTATATTGCAGTACTGTTGCCACATTTTACACCTGCTCAGGCATTCCACTAGCAACATTGTCAGGTCTGCCCTCTCTCAAGCAGAGGGAAGTAGAAAGGAGGCTCCAGGACTCCCTTGTGCTTCCAGCAGTGACAGATATGAGGATGATCACCCCTCCCTCATTAACAAAGGGGTTGTTTCATTTTTACAAGGCTGGCAGGCAGGCAGGTTTTCCAGCCACAGCCTCATCTTCCTCCACAGAACAGGGATGATCAGAGGTGTGTTGCTGTATTGCTGTTGGCTGTGTGGGAAGGAAAAATCTTGCTGCTCCTGTAGCTGGGCTTTGTTGCAGACACAGGAACGCTGCAGTGAGAGAAAGAGTGCTTTGCTTGTCTGAGATCCACCTGCTTGGACTTGTTCCCACTTCCCATGCTCAGCACTAAACTTTCCTCTAGCTAAAACTTTTACTTGCTAGGCTTCATTTGAAAAGCAAGATCCATGGAGCTTTTGTTTAAATGTCTGGTGGGGATAGCAAATTCCTCTTTTTAACCTGAATATCTACCCCTTATAAAATCATATACTATCTGAAACCCTTCTTTTCTCTGGTGAGAGGGAGAGAGAGAGAGGAAGAAATGGATGTGTTCAGAGCACCTGAAAATGAGTCTCTGCAGTCTGGTCCCACTGAAAGCTCCACACCCTGGGATTCCTTCCACCATCCACTAGAATTCATCCAACCCTGGAACTTCCAGCTTCTGGCTGCATTAATGTTTTTGGTGACATCTCTGTCACTCGCTGAGAATTTTGCTGTCATACTGGTGACTTTTAAGTTCAAGCAGTTGAGACAACCTGTCAATTATGTTATAGTAAACCTGGCTATTGCTGATTTTCTGGTCTCATTGATTGGTGGCACGATCAGCTTTTTTACCAATATAAAAGGCTATTTTTATATGGGACATTGGGCTTGTGTACTGGAAGGATTTGCCATCACATTCTTTGGTAAGCTTAATTTTGTTTATCTTGTATGTTCATGTCTTAGACGCCCTAAGAAAAGAAGTTTCCTGCGGACTCAGGTCTGTGTTGTGTAGGTTTAGAATGAAAGAGGAACATCAAAGTCATTCTGTACCATGCAACTTTATGAAGTCACTGACTTTACATGCAACTGATTTCACTACCTCTTTCCAATAAATAATGTTCTGAAGGTGTTGTGCCTTGCTGAGCGCATGTTGCTCATTGAATGTTCACATAGCAGATCAGTATCTTTAACATATGCTTGGTTAATTTTTTTGTACAAAATTGTAGTAAAATATTTTATCAACAATAGTTAACAATTTGCATGGTGTAGGTGTGTGTGTGGGAAAGAACATTATCTGTTCACAAATAATTAAAAATGTTTTCATAGTGAAACATCTTATTGTATGAGTATCTTCCTATAGTTTGGGCAGGATTGTGATACTGTTGCAATACTAATCTCTGACATACTATATAGCTTTGCAGACATAGATCAGAAACTGATTTCTACAGTACCTATCTCAAATCAGCCGTTTTTCATGTCCCTTTCTTATGGTGTTATTTTACTAGACATAAGAAGTCTATTAAAAACTAAAAAGTAATAGGAAGCCTAGCAAGCTATAGCCTTACTCCTTAAATACTTCCTGTCATCTCCCAGTTCTCCAGCCCAGATAGAATTATTAACCTCCCCTCTCTCCCATAAGAGTAACCCGAGGAATGAACATATCATAGAGTAACAGGCAAGTCCGGTAACATTTGTGTATGGGAAGCCTCATTTTAATTTTCTATCAGTGTGCTGCTTGTGCTCTCATATGGAGCTGTATTCTCTCTGCTGCCAATTCCCTCCCAATGGAGCTGTTCTACAGGAACTATGTTCCCCAGGACTGGGTTCTTCCCACCCTAGAATCAGAGGAATACACAGACACTCACATCCATTAACAGAGCATGTCTGAGAGGACCAATTAATCAGCACTCAAAAGCTGACCCCTTATATGTCCCTGGACTCAGTAGGTTGGGTTGCTCAGCAATGCCAAGCTGTGACCATCATGTGTCCTTGGACTCAGTGAGCTGAGTTTAACAGCACATTAAGCTGCCAACCTCATACATCCCCCAGTTTAGCACCTTCCTATCACCACTTTCACACCACAACTGTTCTGCTAATAACTTATTTGATGAGCACACCCCACAGGATTTTGGGGCACTATAGGGATCTTTAGCTTAGATACAAGAAGCATTGTTGCAGAGTGAATGGGGAAGCCAAAACAACACCCCTGAGAGTGTGAGCAAGAGAGAAAAAGAAAAAAGCAACCAGCTTAACAATGAAAGTTATTTAATTCTAGGTAGTAACCATAGAAGGGGAAAACAAACAAGTTAGATTTAATATTGTAACTGTTTTTTAAAACTCTAATTACAGGTGTTAGGGCTAGCAAACCATAACTTATCACATAAGGCAGGGTCAGGAGGCTAAACCTAGAGAGAGGTGGTAGGGGGTAGGTGTGTGTGTGGGAGAGAGAGATCTCAGCACTCCATGAAGCTTGAACTGATTGGGGAGTCCCAGATGGTGATGATAGCTGGGGTCCAGAGTGTTGGAGACAGGCAGAGCAGACTAGAGCCCTCAGCAGGATCAGATGAAGTCCCAATGAAACTGATGCAGACTTTAGTTTAGATCCAGGCATCAGAACACTTTTCTTGAGCAAGGGTATGAGTTTTTGTAGCTACATAACAATGGTTCAAGGGGAACATTGGATTTGTTTATGGGTAAACACAGTGCTTTTTTTTGTGACAGTACTGTGTACAACTTTCCCCTGGAGTACCGGCACTTTATTATTATTATTTTTTTAACAATAAAAGCACTGGGTAAACAGATGATTCAAGGGAGTATTCTAAAGTTTTGTTAAGGCTAGACAATAGAAACTGATCATTCCTGGCTATGGGTGTTGTTCCTTGAGAAAGCTCATAATGCAACTAGGCAGTTTCAGTATTTTGGATATCAATAGAGGATCTATTGCTACAATTGGTCTGATAAATACTGATTTGGGTGTGAGCAGACGTGGGTTTATTAGCATGCAGAGTAGGGATTGCCCACCAGACAGAGCTTTTCTGCTTTCAGTATCCCATAGTTCAGTGCAGTCTGTGCTTTGGAAGTGTTGTTCTCCATTCTGTATGCTAATGTAAATATCTTTCCTAACATCGAAACAGATAAAGGTAGGGGTGTTTCCTTAATTCTGTCACCCTTGTCCGGTGGGGTTTAGGTGCGTCTTCCCCTGCCTTTTCATTGTTTCTCTTTGGTTCAAGCGTAGGGGGAGGGGGGAGCAGGGGGACAGTGAGTAGGTATTCTCCATGGAGTATCATGCCTTAGTTCCCCAAGAACACAGTGCTGACAGGTAACTATACCCTGGTTTCCCAGAACACAGAGCCGATAGGTAACACAAAGTAAAGCAATTTCTGCATTCTTTTTTCTCTTTGCTGTTTTATAGCTAGGTATCATTGTTCTGAAGTCACATAGCAGTGGTAATCTCCTAATCAGGTCAGCTCTTGTACTCAAGGACAGTGCTAGAGAGTGAAGTCAGAAATATTAGTGTGTAGTTGAAACCATCCATACTGACTGATGAGAGTAGCCTGCAGTGAGTGACCCATAAGTAAGGTTCCTTGCCCTCCACCAACAGCTTGCCCATTCTAAAAGTTGCCAGATAGCATGAGGGAAGTTGGGACTAACTGCACCTGCCAAGGCAACACATAGGGAGACACACAGGGTCATATTCCTGTTCTTCCCCTCCCAGATTTATGCCAGAGTTCACCAGAATATGGCCAGCAGCAGCCTTTCAGCCCTGTGGGAGGGAAGGGATGAGATGGGAGCTGCTTCCAGCTGCAAGGGATGGTGGGAGGAGAGGGGGGAGGAAAAGGGATAACCTGACCCGAGTCTTTGCAGAGCACATTCCTTCCTGTATGCACAGTTTAGAATAGCAGCTAACATCTCCAGGCTGCTGTTGGACATAAACATAAGTCAGATGCCTGCTGTGCCCTGGCTAAAGCATGGACAGGAAGGGGTTAAGCCCTGAGGATGCATTGTATATCAGGAATCCGACTGCTGAGATTTCAGTCACCAAAGAATTTGGCTAGAGAGGTGGCTCAGCAAGGGAGGGTTCCTAGGAGTTAGAGCAGCTTCATGCCTTCTGGGGGCAGGACCCAGGATAGCTTGGGGGAGGCAAAGAAGATGCTAAGTTCCTTCCTAGGGAGCTGCTGTGTAGTTTGCAGCTTTTGATCAGGAACAGGCTGGAAACCACTACTCCCTCCCACTCTAGAGTTAACTGAGGGACAGAGAGTTTGCCCCATGCCAGTGCTATGTGAAGCTTTGGCACACATAGGGCTTGGTTCTCTCTGGCTAGTGCCCCAGGCCAGAAGGTCTTGGGCTTTCCTAAGGGACCAGTCCAGCCAGAGGCAGTGGGGAAAGGAAGGAGATCACTGCCCAGGCTGCTGACATGTCTGCTGATGGGGGGAAGGGGAGGTAGCAATTGCCCCAGGGCCAGGCCTAGGGAGGCATGGATGCAACATTGTGTACTCTGGGTGGCACTGAGGGCTGGAGGAGAATGTGCTGTGGTCCAGAAAGTGCTGAGGGCTAGTTGCCCCTTGACCTACCCCTTTCACCCAAGGCTCTGACTTTTATGGGGGCACAGAGCCACCCCCTCACCAGGGGCCCATGGAGGCTGTTGGCTTCCTTAGCTGCTGGTGAGCTGAGCATATCCACTGAGGGCTGGTGCTCTGCACAATGTAGGGAATGAGACATGCCCCACTTAGGGTTGCCAGGTGTCTGGTATTGAACTGGATAGTCCTGTTTTTGGACTGTGTGTCTGGTAAACAAATTGAGAAATACCAGACATATAAGGAAGTTTTTCTGCTTTTCCCGGGCCCGGCTCAGGGCCTGACAGTAGCCCACTCGGGACACACAGCAATTAAAGGGACTGCGACTGCATTTCGGCCCATCCTCCCGTATCCCGCCTCCCCCCTCCCCCGGTCTCCCTGCCACTTTGCTCGACAAATTTTCCCCAGTGTTTTTTTTGTCCAGTATTTTTTTGAAACCCTCTGGCAAACCTAGTCCCACTGGGGAGCATAAAGAGCAGCAATGGGCTGCTGGTGGTGAAAGGACAAAGCAGGAAGAAGACAGAGAGAGGGGGCACCTGTAAAGGGCCGATGGACAGGCAGCAGAGACAACATATAACTGGGTACCATCTGGTGCCTGCCTACAATCAGGGGCGGCCCTAGTCTAGCTGTCAGCAATGGGCACAGTAGGCGAACCATGCAATCAGCGCCCCTACCTCCAAACCCCTCAATGATATTGCGCCACCATTGGGCACCCCATTTAACTTGGTCCCCTAGGCGACTGCCTAGTTCGCCTATATGGACGGGCCACCCCTGAATATAGTGAGGGCTGGCTGGAAACAGGACGGGAGGGCGGGGCCCTGCTGGCCAAGAGCTGGCACATAGCAAGGGCTGCATGGACAGACCAGCTGGGGGAGCAGCCAGCCCTGACTTTTGCATCTTTGCCCTGTCACCAACCTCACACACCCACACCCACCGCAGGCTGCTGGACCCTGCCTCGCACCACTGGTGGGTAGTAGTGATGTGAAATCCCATAATCTGTTAACTTCTTAAATGTTCTGTTTAATCATTAACCACTTAACAGGTGGATGGAGTGTGTCAGGCCTCGCTGAGCTGGAGTGGACTCTGCCATGGGCGGGGGTTGCTCTGGGTAAGCTGGAACCTTCCCTCTCCCCCCCACACACTTGTGGCATGATGGGTCCAGCTGCACTGGAGCACCCCTAGCCCATGGTCTGGCTGCTCCACCCCAGCTGGGCCCACCAAGCTGTGGGCTACTCTGGCCAGGCTGTACTTGCTTGGAGTGGGGACTGCTTGGGCCAGGCCAGGTCTCCTATACACTGTGGGTGGGTGGGGAGCTGCTGCAGTCCAGCCAAGCTGCTGGTTAACTAGTA